GGTCCCATCCCTGGGATTCCCCGAGGAGCATTTAAAGTCTTAGAGGCTACTGGAGGCTGGAGCAGCCCATCTATCTCCAGCTTATCCTTAGAATGCCCTCTTTCTACCAGGACCACACAGGGAGATCAGCAGGTAGGACTCAGCCTCCACAAATACCGTGTCTTATTCTCTCTGAGGTCAGTTAAACCCGAGTCTCCAAGGACCAGAAATCGAGAAGAAGCTAACACCTTGGAAAGGCCAGAAATGGGACAACAGAGAGTGGGAGAGACCCCTTCACTTGCTGAAGGTGTTCACAGTTTACTTCTCTTCAAGACTATCTGGAAAGCCAGCTTCTCAGTGGGTCAGATTTTTTAAGATGCCGGTTCCTAAACTCACTTTCTCGAAATTAGAAGTTGGACCGCCATGACAGGGATTTCAGGGACATTCGGTACTTTGCAGTACCTACCAGTGTCCCTGCTTGTCCTGCAGGCTCTGTGTCCATCAGGCTGGAAAATGGGGCTCATTGTGCCATTTATCCTTCAAAACAAAATCAGCCGAGTGACTGGGTCACATCCTCGTGCCTTCCATATAAACTGGGAAAGAGAATGCAAAAGGTAGCGACTTTTAGAACAGGTTTTTTTTTTTTTTTACAGTTGGCCCAACATACCCGCAGATTCAGCATCTGTGAAGTTGACCACACATTTTCTGGTTTGGATTAAAAATCTTGGAAAAATTGACTTCTCTGTAGCCGAGTATGTGCAGACTTTTTTCTTTGTGTTTTTCTCTAAGTAATATGCTTTAATAATCATCAGCTCACACTGGGCTAGCGGTGGTTAAAGTAGGCGGGAGGCTGTGTGGAGACGCTAGGCACACCCACAGCTATTGCAAAAGGGATCTGAGCTCCCACAGATTTGGGGTTCCGTATTGAAGGGCATCTCTGTTGTCTTAAGAATCCCTTTTCTAGAAGAAACAGTAAGTGCAAAAGTTGTAGGCCTGGAGCATCGGATGAGCGTAGTACATTTTCATAAGCAATATTGAAAGCCCAATAGGAAACCATGTTTTAAGAGAAGGTAGCTATTTTAACCTCACAATTGGATTGGATTTGTCGTCAGTTATAATCGGAGTAAGTCACCAACACTTCCTTTATGCCCAAGGTGCTTGTCAGTGATAACAGATTAAGCTTCGCCTCACAAAAGACCACTCCTTCAAAGATCTTTTCTGATGCCTAAAGCAGGAGCTCACTCACAATTGTGCTAAGAGTGAGCAGATCCCTTGGCTACACTCAGCAGGGTTAATATGGATGGTGGCCAGGCCTGCCTGGGGAAGATGCGGTGACCCCACCTGAGGCTCCGGTCACCCTGTCTCCCACTGAACACAGATCCCAGTATATCCCCACTGTTTTCCTTGCCCCAACTGTTAGTTGGTCCAAACTAGAGTTTCTTTCTGACTAAGATCTTGCGGCTTGGCAGGAGCCTAAGCAAGACCCCAGATATCTGTGGGGGAAGGAGTCACTGTGCCAGGAGAACAAGTGGAACTTACATAGCCCTCAGCACTGTGGGGACAGGACATGGCACAGCCACGAATTACAGGTCATTCATTCTGGGGTTCATTATGGAAAACAAAGAAACAAAATCCCCCTAACAACAGCTGCAAAGTGTAAACCCAGCTTCTGCCCTAAGAGGCATTTCTGGGGAATTTTTTCTTAATGTCTCTTTTCTATTCCTGGTACACGACCATTTAATACAACAAAGAAACTATTTCAGACCCCCACCCCACCTCCCAGCCCTGAATGCTGTTACATGAAGATCCAAAAATTGATACAGAAGGCAATTATGGTGGGACAGGGAAGATCTGAAATTTTTCTAAGGAAAGTGTCTTTTTGGACAAGTGAAAGTATATATTTTAAAATATATGATAAAAATAGTGTCTATTCTGAGAGATGACTTGGAAATTAAGAGCATTGACTGCTCTTCCAGAGGACCTTGGTTCAGTTCCACATAGTGTTCCTAACCACCCGTAATTCCAGTTTCATAAACTCTAATACCCTCTTTGTTCCTCTGTGGGCTCCAGTCATGTACCTGTTGCACAGACGTGCATGCAGGTGAAACTCCTATGCACATAAAATAAAAATAATTAAGTATATGTCCAATAAACGGAAACAGCTCTGGAATTCATAAACATTGCATCTATCCCTGGCCTTGGGGACAACTTGGGTTGGGGTAAAGTCAGATTCAGACTCAAGAGGCACACCAGTTGCCCAAAACAATGAAACAGCGGGCATATGAAGAGAGAGAGAGAGAGAGAGAGAGAGAGAGAGAGAGAGAGAGAGAGAGAGAGAGAAGCAATATAGTGGCATGCTGTCATGAAAATAGCCAGTGACGTCACCAAATCTTTTTCTCTTGATGGCCAGGTATGTTTCTACCCAATGTGATTGAATAACATTTCGTAATTGATAATGGATCAACTTAGAAAGCCCTTGAAACATGAAATTATTGACCCTTGATTGTGGGGATATATCCCAAACCCCTGGTGGGTGCCTAAAATTTAGGGTAGTGTTAAGTCCAGTATCTGTTAAAAAAAAAAAAAAAAGAATTTCTATAGTGCACACCTGTGGTAAAGTTCAGCCTATAAATTAGGCATACTGAGAGATCAAGAGCAACAATAATAAAATCGAAAGGTTTTAACACCACACTGCAATGAAATCGCCAACATCATTACCCTTGTACTTCAGGGCCATTTATTAACTAAAATAAGTGTTCTTTGACATTGTACTTGACAATGATGTGGCAGTTCTGCTGGTAATGAAGACAGCTACTAAATGGCTAGTTGGCAGGCAACATACACTGTGTGGGTGCTCAGAAATACTATCTCCCGAGTAATAAATAGTTTATAAATCCTGAATGGCCTGCTCATGATGTTTGTATGTTTAAGACTTTTGAATGAAGTTAACTTTGGGTACTTTAAGCAGTGGGAAATGGACTCATGTATGAAAATAGTATTGTTTTTTTCCTACTTGTTGCAGGAAGGGGCTGCTTGTTGGTCCTGGCCGCCAAGCCACAAAATAATCACACAGAAACTGTATTATCTGCAATACTGTTTGGCCAATAGCTTAAGTGTATTTCTGGCTAAACTCATATCTCTATTAATCTGTATATCGCAACCTGGTTGTGGCTTTAGCAGCTAAAGTTCCCAGCGTCTGTCTCCAGTGGCTCCGTGGATTCTCTCTGACTCCGCCTTCATCTTCCCATGCTATAGGTCAAGTCAGTTCTTTATTCATCAACCAATAAAAGCAACACATAGACAGAAGGCCCTCCCACACCACCTACTGTTGAATAGTCTCACACCTTAATTGTTAAATTGAAGAGATAGTGAGGCCCTCCTAACATTAAGCAGCTGGACATTGCCTAAAATTGGATAACCAGATGGACTGAACGTCTTGAGGAGACTGTGAGACCAGATATTTTGTGCCTAGTTATTAGACAGCCAAGCAAGCCCAGAGTACAGAATTCATCTTATGCAGCCCAGATGTTTCAAGTCTTTCCACCCAGCTACTACCTACCAGGAGTGGGGAGCAGCTCCCTTGTTTCTTCCGAAGTCTGAAATTATTATGGGTGCTAGAAATAAGGGGGTACCCGAAATTTTAAAATACTAAAGAAGAGAGATAAGTACATCCATAGCCTCTGTCCTAACAGGACTGAAGTTTAGGTTGTGAGAACTTTCAGCTGTATGCATTGAAACGGTGATGTGAAAATTAGATCACGAGAATTTCATGCTTATTCAAAGTGGACTCTCTTCGAGGCCAGTGATGGGTTGATCTGCTTAGATGCGATCAATGAAAGTGCATGGTTTTCAAGAGCTGAGGGGGGAAAGGGCACACACAGTCTGGCCTCAGCCTCTCACCGAGAGACGGCAACGCTGATTTTAACAACGGCATGAAGTGCTTCTGCAGTTTCCCACAGCATCCCACAGCCAGGCTTCCCAGGGAAGGGACAGGAATCATGCGCTCTTCTTTGCAGTGTGCCAAGAGTACTGAATGTCATCCAATAGTGCGCCTTGAGTCTGTGAAGCCCAGACCAGTTTGTATGCCAAGTGCTGACTGCACCCCTGAAATCATCCGAAGGAAATGGAGGAGGGTCTGTGGTCTCCAGACGTTCTATTGTCTTCCAGGCAACTGTTAGAGACAGTCTTGGTTTTCTCAGGGTATATGCTGAGGTCAGAATTGCTGTGTGTCTAGCGCACCAACTCCTTGGGAATAATTGCTTTTATTGATCACATTTAAGTAGGTCGATTCTGGCTTTCAGCTTCAGCTCCACCAACTTTTGGAATCTAAAAAACTCCCCGCCATTGAATAAAACCAGAATACTCTTGTTCATTTCCTGTTGGCCAGTCTGCCAGTAATGGTTCTTGTCTCCTAACTTAGGTACCTTTTTTTTTTCTTTTTGAGATAGGGTCTCACTATGTAGCTTTAGTTTGTCTGGAACTCACTATGTAGACCAGGCTGCTCTTGAACTCACAGAATTCTGCTTGTCTCTAACTCCTGACTGCTGGGATTGAAAGTTTGTGCCACCACACCTTCCTTGGGTTAAAATTTTTCAGCCTCCCTGTTCTCACTGCTGACTTTGAAATTCAGTTTTTTTTTTTTTTCTGATTTACATCTTAAGCTCTGAAATCCCCTGTGATTTCATGGTCCTGCTCGTCCAGGTACAGAGGTTAATGTTGAGGGCCACATTCTGTAAGAGCAGCCCAGCCTTCAGAAAAGAAACAAGAACTTCCAGATCCTCAAAAAGAGTGTAGAACCTGAAGTTTGATGTCAGGTTGACAACCATTTCACCTAGAGCAGAAGGAAGAATATTCCAGATGAAGGGAACCTAGTAGCCAGCCAAGGCAGAGTGGCAGGCCTATTTATTAGATGCCAGTCCTCCAAGGTCAGATGCCATAGGACTACTGTATGCCTGTCTTGAAAAAGAAATATTTACAAGAAGCAATTGGAATTTTCTCTCTTTTGTTTCTCTCTTTGAAAGTTTCTCACAAATGCCAACCAGTTCTGTCCGAGAGGAGACCAATGACAACATCACGATATTCACCAGGATCTTGGACGGGCTTTTGGATGGCTATGACAACAGACTGCGGCCTGGACTGGGAGGTGAGTGTGCCTCCAGCTGAGGCCTGGGAAAATCCAGGGCGAAAGCACCCTCGGCCGTAATCACACGCTGAGTGAAATTCAGACAGTTCCAGAGAGAACTACTTGACCAGGATTTTGAGTGGAATACTTAGCTATCTTGTGTCCTGTCTTATTTTCCAGATTGGTGGGGCTGGAGGGAAGTGGTTTCCTTATCACATTGCGGAAGACTCCTTGCTTTCCAGATAATCTGACAGCTCGCTCTGGTTCCTTAGAAGGGAACCAAGTTCTTAGGTGCTGTTAAAGCTGAGCACACCGTGTGTTAGGAAGTAACCAACATGGCTCTCACTCACTTTCCTGCAAATGGTTATCAGAATTTCACTGCCCACCAAAGGTTTTCTCTGTGTCTTTGCATATTGGAAGACTGATTCATCACTGAATCCATAAAGTATTTAAAATGCCCCTGCTTATCTAAGAGTGGAGGTCTCTTCCAAACACTCTATCTGCTGCCTTGGTTCCTATACACCAAAACCGTACGGTTTAGACCCTTGGGCAGATGCACACTTGAAGTGAAATGAGTTCTCTAATGTCTGTATCATTAACAAAGATTCACGGAAAGCACATGTCTACATTCATAGTCTTTAGTTCAAGAAGAGTCCTCACAGGTCTGGCACCATCCCTTTACCCCAGGGAAAGACATTATCGGGCTCAGTGCTCAACAGTCCTGTCTCTCTGTGCACCCTCAGAGGGACCAAGCACAGATGACGGCTGAGCTGACATCAAGTCTTGCTGAATTTCGTTCAGGTCGCTTGTGTCACTCACATTCAGCAGAGAGCCTAACAGGCCGCTCCGGCTCAGAGGCACAGTAGGGCTTGTATCTGATCCAGAAGGCAGGCGCTAAAATCACACTACACGACATGGTACATATACACCATGCAGAGGAACAGCACCTCAGCAGGAGAGTTGGGGAACTGTCGCAGCCCCGCATGCCATTAGGCAGCTGGAAGTGGTTAAGTGTGGGTGGTGGTACATTCCCAATGTAGATTCTGCTCATGACCCAGGGAGAAAAAATAACTGGAGCCCCTGTCCAAGTATTATTGACCGTTTTGATACTTCTGTATACCCCATCACTTTAGTAAGTACAGTAGGACCCTGTGATGGGGGTTTCTAACAATTCACAATGCCATACAAGGAGGAGCGGGTTTTTTTTTTTCAGTCTGTACTTGTGTTGGCACGCAGCCAAGCTCTGCTCATCGCTCCTTCCCTGAGTACACCCAGTGCTTCCGATCGGTACCCACAGCAGGCCTTATGGCGCCGGGTTTAGGAGTGTCACTACTCAAGACCTGGCATCCCAGTCCACATCTATAGAAGACCTTCTCCCCAGGGAGGAGGGGTACCACGAGACCCAAACCATTTCCCTAACACGATGGGTACTCTTATTTGATTTTTAGCTTGGAACAGCCCAGCCCATTGAGTATTTTTTTCAAGTATTCCAGGTTCACAAAGCACATAAACACACCAGCTATACAGGATGGAGTTGAGTACCACACTGAGAATATCAGCACAGCGTAGAGAAGGCTCACGGGTGAGGCAGCGCAGAGCAACCTATGTCTGTGTTTCAGAGCGAATCACGCAGGTGCGAACAGACATCTACGTTACCAGCTTTGGTCCAGTGTCCGACACGGAAATGGTAGGTACCAAAGCCTGGTCAACACAGACAGTTCCCACAATGAATTGACCATGTTAAGGGGCCTCTCCTACTGAGATGCCACCCTGATGCCGTCTTCTGTATTAGGAATATACCATAGATGTGTTCTTTCGGCAAAGCTGGAAAGATGAGAGGCTGCGGTTCAAGGGGCCCATGCAACGCCTGCCTCTCAACAACCTCCTTGCCAGCAAGATCTGGACGCCAGACACGTTCTTCCACAACGGGAAGAAGTCCATCGCACACAACATGACCACACCCAACAAGCTGCTGCGGCTGGAGGATGACGGCACGCTGCTCTACACCATGCGGTGAGCAGTTGGGCAGTACTGGGGGGGGCCGGCCAGCTCCGCTGGTGGCTAACATACCTGCACCAGGCCTGGTGCCTCATGGGTATGCAGATGATTTGAAGGCTGCACATGTGTGCGGGGGCACATGTGTGTTGGGGGCATATGTGAGTGTGTACTCTGGTGCACCACATGCCGTGTGCTGGTACACTGAGGTGTGGGGGGGCACACATGTGTGTACTGTGGTGCACCTCATGGTGAGTGCTTGTGCTTGGAGAAGTGCGACGCTGAGGCTTGTTCAGATTGTTTTCCTGAGCCGGCGAGGTCTCCAGACATCGGCATTTGTACTCCTTTTTATTCTTGGTACATGCTCAAGAGCATCCTCTGAAGTAGTGGTTCAGATAACGAAAGAGGAAAATTGCCTTTTATACCAACTGAAGAGCCTAAAATGAACCCATTTTGGTTGCAATTGTACAGCTTTTTCAAGGTTTGGAAACCCATTACTTATGTTTTGGTAAGATTTAAATACTAAGAATAAGTTTTAATCGTTGCAATTCAAAATGACATTTGCCACTCTGAATGATCCATAGGCTTCAGTTAATCAGTGAATTGACCAATGAGCAAGAGTCCTTCATAGCTTTTCCGTATCCATGGTGAGTATTACTGGGATTCAGGAAATGCTTTTAAAGTTACAGGAAACAAAATTATGACTACATTACACACACAAACACACACACTCACCTCGGTATCTGTAGAATTTATTTCATAAATTTTTTGTATAAAAATAATTTCAATACAAAATCGTATTAGAAAATAATGTAGCTATTGTCATATTCAGAGGCTGTGTTTAGAACTATAAGCGCCCAGAGACACAGGGGCACGGGGTCGTGCATGTCACTGACAGGAAGACTTGTCTTGTAGCAGTGACACACACCTCGGTATTTTGTCTTCTGCCCACGCCTTTCACTATCCCTCCCACTGGCCTCAAACCTGTGCCTGTAGATGAACACAGCTATAAGAGTAAGTGTGTCTAAAGGGGAAGTTGAGAAACAGCTGCAAGGTTGAGACTGAGTCCTACAGAAAAGAGGGAGTCTGCAAGGAACTCAGGACAACAGAGAAAGGGGAGAAGACAGAGACTGAGCTTGGAGCATGCTGGGGGCACCTAGCGTTGAATGACGGAATGAGGCTATTGTGGGATTGACTTTTTCATAGAACAAAGTTACCCACCATCCCTCTAGATTATGGTCTGTGATTCTCATCACCAAGAAGCTACTTAGGTCCACAATGTGAGCCGCCCATGGTACAATGTGCAACTTTACTCGGAGCAGTGTGCAACCACACTCGGGTGCACACTTCCTATGTGACGAGTGCAGTCAGCCACGCCACGCTATGGAGAGCGGGGACCAGACGAGGTATGGGAGTCCTCACTGAGAGTCATCTTTAGGGCACAAAGCATCAAATGCTTCTGTCCTCAAAGAGTTTTGCTGGGCAGGCGGCCGGTGACACCTTCCCATTTAATGCTCAGAGCGAGCGCGGCTCTGAGGGATTTGGTAGTCACCTCAGGGTCACAGAGTGGTCCGAGAGCCAGCCACGGTTTCAGCAGTACCCTTGCTCGATGTATCGCGCTTGCGCGCTGGAGCGCAGCCGCATCCTCACTGCGTTGTCTAGGAGTCCTATTAGAATCCTCTTCGTAGTGCCTTGCCCAGAAGGAAGGGTGAGAGGGATGTGAGCCAGAGCGACTCCTGGCAGTCAGGAGCGGTTGTTTATGCAGAGCGAGCCTGGTAATGAGCTGCGAAGTTGATAATGAGTTTTCCTTCTCTCAGCCTACACCATCTGAGAAGTGGAATAGTCCTCAGGATTGCTGTGCATCTCAGTGTGCTAAAGCCGCCCCACGTAGCTGTCTGCGACTGTGTGATTATAAACATCACGACCGAAAGCAAAGGGGGGGGGGGGGGGGGGGGGGGGGGGGGGGGGGGGGGGGGGGGGGGGGGGGGTGGGGGGGGGGGGGGGGGGGGGGGGGGGGCGGGGAGGGGGTGATGGGGAGGAAAGGGTTTATTTCAGCTTATACTTCCAAGTGGCTGTTCATCACTGAGGAAGGGGGCAGGGCAGGAACTCAAGACGAGAACCCAGAGGCAGGAACTGTGTCAGGAGCCAAGGAGGAGTGTGGCTCGCGGGCTGACTATCCCCTTCTCAGTTTGCTTTCTTGACCGCTGACCACCTCCCGGGATGGCACCCCCACAGTGGGGGGCCCTCCTATGTCAATCACAGATCAAGACAGTACCCCACAGACTTGCATACAAAATAATCTCACGGAGGTATTTTCTCGGTTAAGACGGTGCCAAGTTGACAAAAACCAGCCATCTTTTGCTGATTTAACCAAGAGTGAGGTGACAGTAGAAATTACTGTCACTGCACAGGTTACATACTGACAAAGGAGGACCGGGTGCCCATCCGTCATGGGCATTCGGGGGGACAGCTCTTCTGTGCAGCACTGAGGACATTCATCAGCCTGGATCAGTGTGGATCTTGAATGTCCCTCTGTGGCCAGTACACTAAAGGCCTTACTCTCTAAGCAGCAATATTGGGAACAGATGGAACCTTTAAGAGAGTGACCTAGTTTTCAAGTCAGGGCGACAGCCTTCCTTTTCTTCACTTTGGCTTTCTAACATGAGAGGCATGGTGTGACTCTGCCATGAAGTCCTCTCCTTATGTCTGTCTTGCCAAAACTCGAAATGATGAAGCCAACAACAGGTCATTACCGCGATTTCCAAAACAATGAGCCCAAAGTCTTCTTTCTCTTTGTAAACTGATATTTTGCAGGCATCTGTTGCAGGGACAGATAGACAGTTTGCACACCATATAAAACCAGTGGCTTCGTTTCCCTGGGTGCAGTAGTTCCTTGGTGACAGCCCTACTGACGAGGTCATGAGAAACACGGTCTGGGCATCTGTACAGGCCTGTGCTTAGTGATGATATTGCTCGTGGCATCAAACCGGAGAAAAAATGCACAGATGAGTACATTGTTCAGGTAAAATTCTGTCCCTGCTCTTCTGGAAGATGTATCTAATTCAAAAGATGAAGCCTGACTGTGTGGTGAAGGCTAGTACCCGCGTGGTACCCTTTCTAGCCCAACGCATAGAAGTGTTTCAACATGGGAGCCATTGTCTGACAACGTAGCTCCCCCAGTGCAGTAAGCCCCAATCTAAACCAAAGAAGAGTTTGCATTTGGGTAGGGTGTTTATTACAATTCCCACCATGTGGAGCAAACTGGAAATCTTTCTGGTCATTGTTGATGCCAGCTCCCCAAATGACTATCACCTGAGGCTCTTACCTGAAGCTAATTGTCGGTGCTGGGCCTGAAAACCTGTTAGGATTTCTCCAATGGGCTGTTCTTCCCATGTTCTAGAGATAAGCGTCACCAGCAGCTCTAGTAAGTCTAAACAGAGCCACTGACATGTCCCACTGTCTTCAAAAAGATGTCACTCTTGGCCGGGAATGTGGCTCAGGGGTAGATTATGAGTTTAGCACGTATGAGATCCCAGTCTCCATTCCCAGTGCCAAACAATGAAACAAACAAGAAACACAAAGACACATTATAAAACTTACAACTTTTTTAGATTATATTTCAGAAAACGTACTATCAATTAATAGTGTTCTGAGTTGAAGGTACCTTTCATTCCCCCTGACTGGGGGAGCATTTTCACACAAGAATATAATGTATTTTGATTTTATGCCCTCCACCGCTGTCTTTTTTTTTTTTTTTAATCTCTCCTAATACAGGAAGAATATTAGGTCTAAGACTCATTTTGCTGAGTACTGGGTTATAGTAACTATGCACATTGGCCCAATGCCCACTAGAGGGCAGCATACTCACAAATCCAGCATACAAAGACTGCTTGTGATACTCTGTCTCTCTCCCACACCTAATTGCCCTTTCTTGTTCCCCTCCCTACCTTCCCTTTCGGAGCCCTTCTTTCTCCCTTATAGTTCCACTTCGAATAACAATCTATATTATTACACACAGGAATGGATGGACACACATGGTCTTTGTCTCTCTAACTCAGAGAAACTCAACTCACCGTATTTAACGGGGTTGTCTTTCATTCAATGTTTTTGCAAATGACGTAATTTCATTCTTCTTGATGAATGAATGAAACCACAATGCGTAGCTATACCATGTTTTCCTTTGACCCATTTATCTGTTGGTGGGCATCTAGACTGGCGCCCTATCTTGGGCATTATGAGTAGTACTTCAGTAAACAAGATGTGAACGAAGGCACAGGGTGTGCTGACTTAGAGTTCCTTGGATTTGCGTGCTGTTTTCAATTCCCCGAGGAGCCTCCTCCTGATTTCCACTGTGGCCTCGCAGATTTGCATCCTGACTGGCAGCTACTAGGAGTTCATCTTCCCTTGCATCCTTATGAATATTTCTCGTTATTTGTTTCACTTATAGCCATCTGGCTGGTGAGACATGAAATTCCAGGGCCGATTAAATTTGCATCTCCCCGGAGGCTAAGAATTTTCAACTTTTTTTCCCCCAAATATTCTGTGTCCATCTTTCATTCCTTTGAATGCTGCTGATTCAATTCATTGGCACAATTTTTTTCTAAGCTTTATGTGCATGATTGCATTACGTATCTGTATATAACATAATTTGATTATAATCTCCTCTGTCATTCAACCTTATTGACTTCTGCTTCGCACCAAACCACTATTCCCAAGAGGCCCCTGCTACTTCCTTGCCTGCACGAGCATAGGTGAGCTATGGCGATAGGGCCACCTCCACCAACCATGAATTACCTCCTAAGGGAAGAGTGACACTTATGACCTTCTCCTTGCTCCATGGCAGAATGCCGATGAGCCCAGTCCTCTGTTGCTGTGTGCTCATGGGTTCAATACCCAAGTCATGTCTATAAGACAGCATTGTGAGCACTCTTGCCCATTCTCCGGCTTTTACGTTATCTCTACGCTTCTTCTTAGCAACATTTCCTGAGCATCGGAGGGGGTGACGTAGATGTCCGATT